GTGAGAAATCAGTGGCGTCAAAATAGCTAGGAAACCCATAACCCTTTGGAGCTTGTGGTTGTACAGTTTCATTACACTGTGATTATCCTAGAGGTCACAATAGCTCATTTTATACATACAAAGAACTGCATGGGTTTAGCAGAAAGTGGGATTGTTTGTAAAGGGGAGACTCGTGGGTACCTATAGAGCCCATTTTCATTCAGATATCTTGAGGTCAGAGGTCAAGGGATCTCTGTGAAAATAGCCATGCCAGTTTGTCCATCACAAAAATGTTGTCTAACCTTGGAGTGTTATTTTGCCTCCGTCCCAACAAGCTAGCATGACATGGTTGGTATGGCATCTTCACTCTAGCTTTAAAACTGCCACAGCCTCTGAAAGACATTAATGACAACTGTGGACGTATTGGTAAACTCAGATTACTATAATACTTGAAAGTGGGGGGAGAAAAAGTCTCCTTGTCCCCTTTATTCTGGCGCCAGTGCTCAGCGCTGTCATCAGCCTTTACAACTAGAAAGTTTCAAGACAGAAACTCGTCACGACACAAACATGACTCTGAATGAATGAATGAATGAATGAATGCTAATGTCGCTCTGTGTCTGCTGGATGTCTCAATAGGCAACTGTTTGCTCACACATTCACCATAACTTTATAAGCTGATAATGTGTCAGTGTTGTTCCACTGCCACCAAATGGGCAAATATTAGTGATAATGCATTAGATCAGAAAACTCTTTGTCGTTTTCATAGTTAATGACAATCAATGAATTTTAAGAAAATAATAATAATAAAATATAATCATTAGCACCAGCACTAACTGAATTTAGAACATTTATTATTTATTAAGCAGGCTAATTACTCTAATTTGAGCATATACAGTGATGTGTTTCTGTTGTCCCACTGGCACTGAGCAATCAGCAGAAAGTTGCCTGAAGATACCTCTGTGAAATCATCACCTCCCTCTTTTCTAACAATTGTCTGATCCAGTCAAGGATTTGCCAGTCCAGCCCAGAAGAGTACAATTACAATTACAGTTACAGTTGCTATTAATTCCACTCAACTGCACAAATCTAATAACCTCGAAGCACATCTGAACATTATACACACTTGTCAAAGCCTCTTAGATATCTGCTAGAAAATCCCCACACAGACACTTCAGAATATCAATGACTGTAATGATCCAGCACAGCCTGTATCACACTATGCACTGACAAACAGAGAACTGTTGCCTGTGCAGTGCAGAGAAAGAAGAGCACCAGCCAGAGAGAGAGAAGAATCTGAGGGCTCCTTACCTGCTTCCCTCACATCCTGCACGGCTGCTGAAGGTAGGACGGCTCCTGGTCCGCACTGAGGAACCGCTATGAAAGAGAGGGAGGAGAGGGAGGCAGGTGAGGAGTCGAGGGAGGGTGGCAAGTTAATGGAAAGCTGGAGACTGGGAGGGCAGATGGGAGGAAGGGGGCAAATGGATGGAGAGTGGGGGGTGACTGGTGGCTGCTGCATCCCCTCTCTGCATACAGAGCCCCACAAACAGAGCAGGAGCAGAGTGCTGCACACATCCCTGCTCCTTCTCCACTCTCACTCGCTGTGTGTGCAGCCGTGTTCACGAGAAAGATGCAGCAAGTGCGTAAGGCATCATTTCTGCTTAACTCAGTGAAACGTGTGTGTGGTCCTGTACTTACACAGTTGAAAAAGACAATAAATCCCATGTTGAGAATCTTTACTTCTACACAGAGATATTTGGAATGATATTTTTAGTTTAGACAAAGCTTAGGTTTCATTAAGGTAAAGTTTAAACCTGATTAAAGGATAAGTCTGGAAATATTTTTCTTACTCTTAGCAAATCCCATGAAAAGACGTAAACAATCAATGAACTGATCCTACTAACAAATGTTGTGTGTATTTCAATCCGGAGAGACATGTTAATGAAGTAAAGATAATTGTTTATTATAACATGATATGTGATTAAGTCTTGACAAAAAGATGCTTAGACTCTACAGGGAGATTTTTGGGACAGGGAGGCGTCTGTCCTGAACAGGCTGATGAAATAATGAAGCTGATGAATGTGCGAAGACTGGGCGGTGATGGGGACTCAGAGCAGAATGAATGAACTAAGGAGATAGGGAGAGTATGATCTGTAAAAAGATAGCAGCAAGACCATAGAGTCGCTGTGCTATTGAATAGATGTAACCAACTGATGAGAACAGCTGATTGACAGCCACAGATAATGACAGCAAAGAAATTATGTGTGAGAAATGAACTACAGGTCTATATGTTGACTGAACTTTTACTACAGCTTCATTCCTCTGTGCCATAGAGCTCCATTGTGGTCCAAAAACTATATTAACATTTTTTACATCAACTTGCCCTGTTGTTCCTCCTTTACAATGAACAAACACACTGCAGTTTATTTTGTGAATCCTGCAGCTGAACACTATAGAACCAAATGTATGCTAATCTGCAGAAAACAGATGTAATGTAGTATGATTTTCCTCTTGTTCAAAGGACCAGTGTGTAGGATTTAGTGGCACCTAGCAGTGTAGTTGCAGATTGCAACTCCCTCGCTTCACCCTTCCTTTCCAAGCACGAGAGGGAAACTAAGGTGGCTGCGAAAATCGCAAATGATCCTTTGTTGAGCAAGTGTTTGGTTTGTCCGTTCTGGGCTACTGTAGAAAAATGGCGGTTCAACATGGCGAACTCCACAGAAGCTGTTTGTAGATAAAAACAGCTCTGTCACAGGGATGCACCGTGACCTCACTATAACTATACTGTAACTTAATTAAGACACAGCATATAGTGCTTGTCCACCATGTCATTTTTACCTACCATATAGGTGTCTGGGGTTCTATAATTAGCAAAGCTTAAGGGTTGAACCTGTTAAATGGAATTGTGTTATGTTGTGCATTGGTGTACAGTCACACAGATACAGACCTTGAAAAAAGATTGAAATGTTTTTTTTTTTTTTTACATCTTTCTTTGATCAATTTTATGTGTTTCTTATCTCTCCTCCAGACTGCACTTGTCACATCTTCAGGTTTGGACCACTGTTTTTCCACTGTTAACTTATAAGAATGATCTATTGGGTGTTGGATAGATTTCTGCTATAAGTTAATTGATTTACTAATTGTTATTTCCTGGGGTAGGAGGAGCTACTGGCAATATAAGCAGGAGTTGGAGCTTCTCCCAGGTTTCAGATGCTGTTGGCGAGTTGGCCACAGTGATTGTACAGTGGTATTGTATGGTTATTTTTCATTTAAAAAAATAAATACGCTGCACTAATCTACTGCTGTAAAGAAAAAGGGAAAATAAAGAACCTGTACTGATAAAGAGTTAAAAGGTCCCTTGCTTTCTACCTTCACCCCTCAACCAACTTTAAAGGCTCATTAATTAGCACTAATTCAATTGTAAATGTGTGTGGCAATATGCAGCTCTAGAGCTAACTATCAGCTGAATTGAAGTTGGGCCCTGTTTTATTACCTCATAAATGATCTAATGTGCGTGTATGTTGCGCATTCCTGAATGGATTTGCTCAATCAAATTTCTACACATCAGAACTGAAGCAAGATAGTATTCCAACATAGAAAACACATTGTACGCACTGCACAAAGAGTGGGAGGAGCAGAGGATTACTAGAGGCCCAGCAACTCATTTTTGCCACATGGCCCCCCAGCAGGTTCATCTGGCCATGGCTGGGAGGACATTTTGTAACTGGGGGTGCTGTTTGGTGCTTTAAGAAAAATCTGGGCGTGGTTAACTTTAAAGTGTAGTATAGATAAGGAACTGAATAAAAAAGAAAACAATATCAATATTGTACTAGAATATTACAGTATCAACATATAGGTAAAGCACAAAGCAAAGAACAAAAATAGGTAGTTAAAAAAGAAAATGATTATTATTTTGGCTTTTTTCAAGATGGTCAAACTCACTTTCTAATAAGCCATCCTTTAAGGCGTTGTAAGTTGTAAATAATTTATAGACGGTTAATAGATAATTTACTAATGCTGTATTCCTCTGTTTATCCTCCACAAGGACACACACTGCTTTTTAGCTCTTTGATTCTTCTGGTGGACCCTCTGATGGACCACTTCTGAAAAAATCCTGTGAAAAATCTGGACCAAAATCAATTTATTTACAGTTAGTAACATGTACAACTGCAGGCTTAATGGCTTATTAGGAAGTTTTTATTTACCACCCTTTATAACTGCAGTATCCCGGATAAAAGGTTTAAACATCATCCAGAGAGATTTCTTACAACCTGGCAATCAAAAGTTGCTGTTATTATTATTGTTTTAATGCTGTATTAGCAATGAATAAAAGCCCAGTGATGGAAGGCAAACATCAGTTTATTTGTCACATGTAATCATATAAGGTGAAATCACAGTGAAATGTAATTAATTAATTAAATTAAATAATTGATTACATTTAGTCAAGTAAACTTGCCCTTGAGCATATCCCTCTGTAATTCTGCTCTGCTACACAAGGAGATACTGCTCTTTACCTCCACATTTATTTGACAGTGAAATAAAATCAGTTCCACCTCGACCTGTTCCAACATTAAGGTTCTGCATAATGCACCAATAATGAGGATTCAGTTATATATAGTAGATTGTCAATCTGCAGTACAGTCATAACCCCTTTATAAACTGTGACTTTACATAAAGTGCTTCCAAAAGGAAACTGTTATGCACACATATTGTAACATGTTTTTATTTACAGGTAGAGACTGTCTGTTTAGCAAACTGCGTGCATTATTAGAGCTCAGGGTGAGACACTGTTGACTACCCCAGTATCTCACCAGTAAAGACACAGCAACTGGGCAGCTTTTAGTGGCAGGAGTATATACCATATTAGAAAGTGAACATATCTTAACCCAAACAACTTCATAAACAGGCAGACTAAACTTAAATCAGCATCGTTACATGCACAGCGCCATGTTTACATTACATTCATCACTGCACCAGTCACCCTGTATAACATTAATTTATTCAAGCAACCCTAAAATCTCGCGGTGCTACCATTCAGACATCTTGCATTTTATTAAGTCTGCTCTTGGGGAACATTTTCATTAAACACACACCACATATACATATTCTGCTCAGAAACAGGCTTTTGTTGGTCGTCTGAATCCAGATTAGGTTTCCTCCGCGTGCTAACGGATGTGAGGCGGTTGGTCGGACCGAGCCTCGCGTGCCAATCCCGCGGAGTTTACACCGTCTCTCACGGGCGCTCTCAGCCGTATTGTGCGTCATCTCCATCGCTGCCGTTTTGTTATTTTTTTCTCCGCTGAGGAAACATGGCAACTCCCGCCGCAGTCAACCCGTCCGGTAAGTCGGTGTGCAGTGTGTTGGTGGAAAGTGAATGCTGCGCTTATGTTACCTAGAATATAGGAAAAACAAAGCAGGGTTTCGTTTAGACTGTTGCTGAAGAGGGCTGAAGCGACGACAGGCCGCCGAAGCCTGGCTCCAGCATCCATCCCCCTTCCCCCACCGAGCCGCCGTCCACAACGCCGCTATTCTTCACGGCTTTGCGACCAGCTTATACGCCCGAATGTAAAAACGACTTGTTTGCTGTGAAATGACATGCATTAACGCCGCTTTGGTGTCGCATTTATGCTCCTGTGTCTGTCGGTGAAGCTAAGCTAATGCGTTCATTTAGCCGACCCGTTGCTTTCCTCACTGTGATACAAAAGGTTATTTTGCATATCGTTGCCCTACAGCATTGCCCTTCATATGCTGTGTGTTAACCCCGGAGGCATTTTAACATTCGTTGTCCAAAAAGGGAAGCAGGCTGACGGCATCACTCGTGTATTTCTCTGTTCCTCGCCTGTTGATTCCTTATTGCACAGAAAGGGTTTATTCGCCCGGTATTTCACTGACAGAGCGAACCCCTATTTAAAAACCTGCCAGTGTAATAACGTTGTGGCATTTCCTATTGGCCTGAGGTACACACCGGTCCGAACATAACTAAAAAAATCCCCTTAAAAGCAATCTGCAACCCGGCATCTATCCACCGCGATACAAAGTAACGCGTATTAAATGAAGAACTGAACTGTGAGTATCCATGTCCCTGGTGTTAGGGTTACTCACTCGGTGGGCAGTGAAGAATTGTATGAATCAGTTCTAAAAGTTTGGGGATTGAATTGAAAAACGTGATAATTAGTGGTTTAAATGTTTGCCGATGTGCTTAAAATCGATGTTAATAAGTAGCAAGTGTGTTGTGAAGCTGTCAGCGTTATGTGTGTGTCCGGTGAAACAAAGAAAGTGTAAATTGTTAAATGTTTAAATAGAGTGTGGCGTGATGTTCTCCCAGTGCTGAGTGTTTGAGGGTGATTCTGCTCACATGAACTCACTAGGACGGGTTTGAACAGCGAACAGCATGAACATCAGTTCAGTTTGAATGTAGGCTATATGTATCATAATACAATCACTTCGTTTCTTGCCTCCAGATAGGCAGTATAACCTCAGTAAATGAAGTTTAACAAATGGACCGTAACCATCTTGCTGTCATCACTTTGTTTCTAATGAGCTTGATAATTATTCAAAGAATGCAGTTCATCATTTTAATATGGCCTGAGTCAACTGCCTTTGCAATTCATCAAATCAATTCCAGTTGAATTAATTCATTTCACACAATGCACTGTAGCATGTCTGTGAATGTGGTTTAAAGTAGTTGTCACTATTCGGCATTATTAGAAAAAAGTTAGGGATGCACAATATATATTGGTGCTCATTAGGGCTGGGCGATATATCGATATAACAAATATATCGATATATTTTTAAATGTGATATGGAATTAGACCATATCGCATATATCGATATAGTTATAGCAA